GCCTGCCGGAGGAGCACAGGCATAGCGGAGGAGGTGCGGCAAACCGACTTTCTACGCGCTCAAAGTAGCACTGCGTCGCAACCAGGACGTCACTGACGACTCTCTGGTGGCGCAAACGTACACATCACAGCACAAAAATCACCCATGTTCATGCGTTGGGGACCAACATCAGCAGTAGCACATCCTTTTAATTTCAAACTGCTGCAGGGATACATATTCTGCCAGAGAGGGCAGATGTCCAGTAAAGAGAAGCCTACGCAGGCTGTTTGTAAAGGTAACAGACCAGCCTAATTGTCCCACGCTACAGACGTACCGCGAAATTTGTGTGCCTAGCCAGGAACCTGCTGCCACCCGCCATGTGTTCTGAGCTGGCGCTGTCCCAACCAATTTCTTGAAATCTTTTTCTGGTGTTTGTCCCAGCTCTGGAGCTGTTCCCACCTCTAGCCCCCGAACCCTGCGAAGAATTGCCAGGAGCTGCAGATGTTCCTAGCGCTGCGGTGTCTCCACCACCAGGTGGTCCGTTACCTTTACCATTGCCTTTATCAGGTGTTGGCTGAAGTAAGCAAGAAGGGCTAGGGTGATAGGGTGCTGTTGCTGCTCTCAAGAGGGGCAAGTGCGTTTTTCATTGGATAAGGTTCCCTTAGGTGTATGTACGCAACTCACCTCACATGGACCGCCCCCTCCAGCAAGGCGACGGTGGTGTCTGAAGGCTGCAGAATGCTTAAGAGAAGAGAAACAGCGGAAAAGAAAGAACACAACTGCAGCAATGGCGGCAGCGGCTGTGACCCTCGCTAGGAAGCTGATTCGGGGAGCTCTGCGATAACTGCGGTATGTGGGTGAGTCAGAAACTATGGAACCGGCAAAAGGGTCGTGTCCAGCTTCCAAAGAGGCTGCTGTTGACTCTGTAAGAGGATAAAAATAGCCCTCGTCCCAGAGGGCGAGGGACGCACCATGGGCCCCCCACGCCCACAGTCCTACCGAAGAAGCTAAATAAACGATTCCGATTAATAAGAAATTAGGGGGGTCCCAAAATTGCCCCATCCTCTCTGATCCCACAATACTCACAGGGAAACCCCACCGGCCCCGACCGAGCCACCATGAGGTTCGATGGCGAGCCCTCCAATTCTGCAATGGGTGGAAAAGGAAGACTATATAGGTTGAAAATAACGTGAAAATGGTAAAAGAATATGCACTTTGGGAAAGAACACTATGACGGCAGCTAGGACGCGTCTAGGGAGCGACATTGGCTCGTTCCGCAGATCAGCGTCCCTGCGTAGGCCACGTCGCCTTCCTTGTACATCAGCCCGTTCCTCCAGGATTCCCTTCCAAAAATGCCCCTATTTTGAATGCATAAGTGTACGGCCAATATTTAGAAGTTTGCTTGAGCTGCCTTGCATCCCCGAAGCCGGGCTATTATATATTGCAAAACCTGACTAGCGGCGAAACCCCAACGCACGGCTCAGTTCCCTGTACGCCTCANGCTCCATTTTCACCACCTGTTCGAGTTCACTATTACATTCAATTTGCAAGGTTCAAACGCACCGGTTCAGCGGGTCGGGTTTCACCTACGCTCTCGCTGATCGCGCACTATTTACCAATGTGTTCGTATGGGTGTTCGTCTGAGATATGCTGCTCTCCAAGCATGCAGCACTTCAGTAGTAGCAATTCTTACCTGGACTCAGAACTTTGAATGCAGTTTCCGGGGTAGTGCTGTTCTTAGTACCACCGCCGTCTTACTCGAGCATGTGAATGTATGGAATTTGTAGCGTAGTCTACCTGCAGTTAGCACAGGAGCCTTCATTCAGCCTTGGTAGGTTGGAAATACAAACGTTCTATAAGTATATTCAAAGGTAAAGTATGCAATAAAGGGAGCTTCGCTGAAGAGCCCTAGTGTGCACGCCTGAGACTGCCTTGTATCACTACAACGCTCGGCCTTGATCAAGGACAGAAGCGCTCTGCAATGTAGGTAATGACTTAAAGTAAGGGTTTGCTGAAGCAGCTAGCATCCTTCCCCTGTCATCAGGCGGCCTGCGCGTTGAGCTCAGTGTCTGGGTGTTGCCTGGAGGAGGCTGCCTAAAATCGGGTGGCAGTGCACCTCGCTGCGGCTGGTGATACAAGCCAGCCTCACGCATGCACACAAGGAAGCTTCGCTGAGGCTTCCTTTACTGCATGTTTTACCTTTGGATACACTTATAGA